TTAAACTATTTGTACCTTATTTATGATTAAATAAATGTGTAAAAACTATTACGTGATGTGTTTGTGGATATAAGTGTGAAATTCATAATACATAAAATAAATTACATACTTTAATTTGTGAATTTTGGACTTTAAACGCATCCCGAAAACTTAATCTAGAGAACATCCTCTATATATAATATACTAAGGTTTTCCAAATCCCGGTGTCGGACCGACCAGGTTTAACACCAAAATGGTGTTGTACGAAAAAGAACTGAAGATAAGCCGGTATTGGACCAACCAGCGTTATTTTTTTTAAGCGCGGTCGAAGGCCGCCAATGCAGAAAGCAATTATACACGAAAAACTAATAATGTGTTATTTATTTCCTACCGTCGAGGTTTTCTTTATTCCTTTCGGTTTAATAAAGTTTTCGCGTACTGCCAATTCGCTTGCCATATTCGCGTTAAATAAATTTTTATTAACCCTAACGGACGCATATTATTTTCTGACATTTACTAGGAGATACTAAAATAAAAAAAATTATATTCGAAATTTGTAATTGGGTCATTCCACATCAAATCGACAAAGAGTTGGACGCGACCCCCACCGATTCGAATGAATTTGTCGATTTGACATGGAATGACCCAATTACATAGAAACAAATGTAACGGATAATTTTATTCGACACAGTCCTTAGTTTACATTTGTTTACATATGTGATACAAATATATACATACGGTGTTTGTAACATTGAAAAAATCAGTAACCGTATTCTGATGGAGCCTTTTATCCGAATACGATTTTGCGATGTCCGATCGTAGATCAAGAAGATGCGAAATATGTTTGTAAGGGAACTTCATATCGTAGTCATTTCATTTAATTATTAACCAAAATACCTTCATTTAATATTTTTAAAATCTCACATTCTTCGGCGACAGATATTTTTTTTTGCTACGCGCGGCAAACATTGATGTTATCAAAATAAAACATATACAACTGTTTTCTCAAACAAGCAACTTAAGAAACAACATAGATTGCAATTCCTATAACAGCCGGTTCTATGGTTCCGGACTTGGCCCGATGAGTTACGTGGCCCCATGTTGCCAACGCACTACTGCGACACCTGCCTCAACGGCTGTGCAATCTGCAAATTGTTCGCGCACTGCCTCGTCACTCCACTCACTTCTACAATTTAACTGCAACGGACTCCTGAGCAAGATCGAGGAGATAGTTGCATTTATGAACCGGGAACACGTATCGATAGATTCGGTCCAATATAGCAAGATAAATAGCCGCTCAGATCTTCAAAGTTGTGCAGGTTTCAACGTTTTACGTAAGGATCGCGGGCGAGATAATGGTGGAGGCCTAGCCTTCATACTGCACAACACGGTGCATCGTCTTATAGATGTTGACATCGACCCTTGAATGTCAGGGCATAGCTGTCCGGTCAGCTCGAGATATTTAATATATACATCCCCCAGTTACATGTTGCCCAACAGGATATCACCCAAACATAGTGCGCTACTTCGTGGTGAAAACCGTTTGCTGCTAGGCGACTTTAACGCGCACCACGATCTTTGGCACTCCTGCCTGTCAAACGATCGTCGGGTGATAAGCTGGCGGAACAGACTGACGATTCGACATTCTTCACAACGAATGACGGAGCCCACACCAGAATTATGGGCACCTGTAATAGCTTGCCAGATATTACCATCGCTAGCGGTGGTCAGATAAATAGCATAACCTGGCGACCTTTGTTAACTCTCGCATCAGACCATCTGCACATAATTATCTCGATCGAGAAACCTCCCGACTTTATTTCTGTGGACAACCGCACCTTTGCTAATTTTAACAAAGCTAACTGGTTCGGCTTCACAGAATTTACCGAAAGCAGTTTCACCGTACTACCCATTCCTACGGACGTCGTCGTTGGCGAGCGTCAATTCCGCAAGGTGATCGCTGCTACTACCGCTCGCTTCATACCGGCTGGAAGAATGTCGAAACTCCGCGCTAATTTTCCAACCGAAGCAGCTGTATTAGCCGACGAGTGCGACACCTTACGCCATGCCGATCCCTGTGATCCCCGAATAAGGAATCTTAATTTGGAGATTCGGCTAATGGTAAATCAGTATAAGCGGACAAAACGGATAGAGCACTTTGAAGTCCTGTAACCTCTCCCCCGGTGTGACTAAGCTTTGGACTACTGCCAGGGTCTTGTTTAATTCGAGGAAACATGACGACCGAGTTGAAATTCAATTCTATGGCCATGCCTCCTCGGACCCAAAGAAGTGAGCGAGCTATTTAACCAGCAAAACTTCTCCCTTCGGCATAAAAAACCAAACGATGTGTTACCCGACGGCTGTTAAAATACCTTACTTTCACCGATGGGGAGGTTCAGAGTACCATCAACAAGGCCAAATCGTCCAAATCCATTGGCCCAGACGGAATAAGCATGCTGATGCTAAAACACCTAGGCTCGAAGGGAGTAAGCTATCTTACCAAGGTCCTCAACTCTTCAAATACCCGAGGTGTGGAAAGTCGGAAGAGTGGTCCGACTACTGAAACCTGGGAAACCCGCCAACAAAGGGGAGTCATATCGTCCGATAACTCTCCTTTTCCCAGTAGTGAAGACCATTGAGGCCTTGATACTTTGTTACAAACTTGACAAAGGAGTACAGACTGGATCTAAACATTTCATTCGATGACATTAAAATTCCGACGGTCAACAATCCTAAAATTTTAGGTGTTACATTCGACAGCCTGTGCTTCTTCACTCCTCACACAACCGCGATAACTGCCAAATTACAGAGCCTCAACAAAATCCTCAAATCGCTTGCCGGCAGTTCTTGAGAAAAAGACAAAGAAAGGTTTTTGGCAACTTACAAGGCAATCGGTCGGCTGGTCTTAAACTATGCTGCACCAATATGGTCGCCTGGATGAAGTGCAACGCAGGCAAAGAAACTTCAGACATGTCAAAACACTGCACTCCGGACTATCACGGGATGTCTCATAATGTCCCCAATCAAACACCTACATAGTGTAGCACTTATGAATCCGGTCACGGAACATAACGAGCTCCTCCATTTCGGGTGGGATGTTTTCATAGAAACCAACTTTGCAGTCGTCTGCATGAAGCGGAACCGCCTCCTAGAAACATCAAGAGGTCCTTCCTGGGTACGTCGACGACATTGGACAATACGCCGACCAGACTTCGGATGCAACGAACTTTAGACAACCGCCATTCACATTGGAGCCATCAACACCTTCACCAACTTCCTCTCAGTGAATGACGTACTTGGAGTCAAACCACCACCCATCGCAGACGTAGAGATCGAGTTGCCACGTGAATCTAGAGTGACACTTACGCAACTTCGCTCTGGATACTGTAGCAGATTAAACTCCGACTTATCCAGAATCGACCCCGACATACCCAATATATGTCCTGCAGGCAACAAACCCTACTCATCTAACACCCATCTTCCTACAGCTCGTTTCCTAGGCCTCCTATGTAAATACACCTCACAATCGACATGTGAGAAGATATTATACAATATCATGATATCAGAAATAGTTAAAAGAACTCGAAAAAATTAGGAAGCACTTAACTTTTTAAGATCCCAGGTGGAGACTGAAAGCTTCTTAACTTTTTAATTTAATTAACACTTTTTAATAATGTCAGTCCGACAAATGAGTTGCTTTTTATTGTGGAAAGAACAGGTGCAAAATTTCATATCGATAGCTTAAAAACTGATGGACTAGTTCGTATATATACAGACTGACGGACATGGCCAAATCAACTCAGCTTATCATGCTAATCATTTGTTTATATTTTATAGGATCTCCGATTAATTTTTGTAGTCCATGGCATTTGCCTTCATTTGATCAAAGCACCCGAGTACTTTTTTAATTTCTTTATAAATTTTATCGTTTTTTCATGGTTTTTAATGATTTCACGCTTTTTGTAGTGTCTTAAATTTTACAAAATCCCCTCGTTTTTATTTTTCTACACTTAATTTTCAGTTTTTTACAGAATTCGTTTAATTATAAATTTTGTATACCACTTGGTAGCTACCACTCCTATTCTTTTGAACAGCGCAAATAGGTAGCCGACACAGAAATGAACGAATAACATCGCAAATATAGTAAATAGATGAAGTTTATGCTTTGTGTTTTACTCGCAGAATAGCGTTAGAAGTATTTCTTAAAGAGTGCTTGGTGTTTATGGTCTCACATGATACATTTTATGGATAAAATATTTTTCTAAGGAGTATTCTTTTTATTTTGAAGACAGCTGTACATACAGCGTGTACCAATAGTGGTTGACGTGATTTTGTTTTGAAATTAACACACTTTACATATGTTCTTTCGCGTGGTAACTCTTTTCTGCACTGACGGACTTCGGCCGCCCTTCAAAAAAAAACCTTGGCCGGTCCAACACCAGGGTGTCCATAGTTCTTTTGCGTGCTGAAAGGAGTTCGATGCAAAGAACTATGGTCATCCATCATCAGATCGCGACGCCAAAAAATCATAATCGTGCCTTTTACATTTTCTCAGTATTTTTTTCACAACTTTTTAGTTGAACTTATAATTACAGCGAAGTGGTCCGAATTCTGTTGCTACAACAATAACAACTAAGTTACTTGAAAAATGTGTGGAAGGTGTGTTAAATATATTTTTATATACCTACTAGCGGACCCGACAGACGTGTTAAAATAGTTATATAGGGTAGGAAAAGCTTATGAAGAATAATGTAAATTGCCGATTGGCATAGTAAATAAATAAAAGTAACAAATGTGTTCAGCCGAACTATCCTTTATGAATCTTCATTCAGATATGTTTCGTATAGAGTAGGATAGCAGTATAAATGTTTTAGACACTATACACCATACACATGTCTATGGTCTTCATAGTTTAAACTATACTTATGCTATCTTAGAATCTGATCACAGCGCCATCTATCAGGCGAAACTAAAACTCACATTTACTTTTACCTATTTTTTTACATAAACTATACATTTACCGATTATTGCCCAAATTCACTTTCTCCGGTGGCTACTGCAAGAGCTCTTGGTGCAACGCACGGTGAGGTCCATTTCAGGCTTAATGGCTTCGTAAACAAACAAAATTGTCGCTATTGTGGTGAGTCAAACCTCGTTTGGTTCAGGAAAATCAATTGCACCCACAAAAATGTACCGGTTGGTGCGGATTGTGGAATGGCGGCATCATCGGGACCTATTTATTTTGAAATGAGGCAGGAAATGCTGCTACCATAAATAGCGATGTTGACTGCCTTTTTTCTCGAAATGAAGATTTTATTCTCCGGGGGTATGCTAAATCAAATGTGTACGCTGAAGACAACATTCAGCGCACTATAGCCGAAATGCTGCACCGGTTCACCGAGAATTGGCGTAAACGAATTAGAGGTTAAAATGGGTATGTAGAGGATATGTATGTAAAAGATAGAGGAGCTTCCTCAGATTAGTAATATGTATAATATCTTATTTTCTTTTGTTAAAAAATAACTTTTATATACTAATTTTTAAAATTTGGTAGAATGCAACTTTTTTGTTATTATGTGAATAAAAAAATGTGGAAAACGGTTGGCCTCAAGGCCCATCCCTGCAACTTTCCCCCTAATTTCATACGTTAACATTCAAATTTCGCTTTTTTCACTGTTTTTGAGCTCTTCGAGAGTTTAATATAACACTATTTCCCAAATTTTTTAAAGACTAATCAATTTTAGTGATTTCTTTCGTTAACGATATCTCGCAAGTAAATCAACCGATTTCGACCCGGTTTGCGGCAAACATTGTGTTTTTTCAAGGTTTAGAACTGATTAGTATTTGGTGTCGATCGGTCAAGTCGTTATCGTCAAAATTTTTTTTATTTATTTATTATTATTATTTCTTTAAATCTACTGGTCCGATTGGGTCCAAACTTACTTAATTCAAGTGCAATGAAACCTTTTGGAATTCCGTTTAGTTTATTCAAATCGGTTGAGCCGTTTAAAAGTTATGAGGTTTTGTACATCCACACACACACACACATACATCCACACATACATTCAGACATACGGACATCATCGTAGAAATGTTCGGGAAAGCTGTTCTGTTCTGAAAGTTCTGTTGAGAACTCGATTTTTGCAAAATGGGGTGAAACCAATAACTACCCGATTTTTAGAAAATTTTCAATTTTCTTAGCGGAAAGTTAAAAAATGGAACCAAAGTTTAATTAAATCATATCGAATTCAAATTATTTTTGCTCTATTTAATATAAAAAAAAATTGAGAAAACGACTTAGTGAAGTGTTATAATATCTTTAAAACCATAAGTTATCGACAACTAAATGCATATTGGATAGTATTCTAAAATTTATCCAAAAAAAAAGGATTATATCGTCAATACAAAATTCAAAATCGTGTAAAGAGTGACGCTAACTCTTTCAGAGTTTCCTTTCTCTTAGTAAATTCCTACGAAAATCTACCCGAAAAAATTATAATGATTTTTTTATTTCCACCATTGGGGTATTCTCTGTTTTCTTTTGGTTCCTTTGTAAAATATGTAGATAAGGTAACACTGATATTTGTTAGATTGCAACCCTTTTGTTATTGAGTGAATAAAAAGAATTGAACAAAAGTTAAATATTGAATTCAAATTATTTTTGCACCATTTAATATGAAATAAATGTTTAAAAACGATTTAGTGCAGTGTTAGTGGATATAAAAGTGAAAAATACAAATGTAAAATTCATTTTAAATCGAAAAAAAGTTTCCCACGTCTATATCTATAAAGTAAAAAAAGTTTTCCATGCAAGCACTTTACTCCGATCGTTAAGTTTGTATAGACGCTATGTAATAAAGTGATCTGATCTGAACTATATGTTATAGTCATCCGATCTATACAATTTCTTCGGAGGTGATTCTGCTCTTTCAGTTTGTATAGCCTCTATATGATATAGTGATCTGATCTGAACAATTTCTTCATAGATTACATCTGATCTGAACAATTTCTGCCGATATTAAGTTGTAAACTTAGACAATAATCCATGGCTTATTTCGTGAAATACCTCGCCAAATAAAAAATGTTGCCATGCAAGCATTTTACGGTCAAAGCATATGGCAGCTATATGCTAGTGTTCCGATCTAAACAATGTCGGGTCGGCTTTAGAATACCGTTCTAGGATTACGGGGATAAAATGGGTATATGCGGATGCGGAGTGTTCATAATTCAATCGCGTCCAACATCTTTCTGCACTGGCGGCCTTCGGCCGCCTTTCAAAAAAATAACCCTGGTCGACCCAACACCGGGGTGTTCATAAATTAATCGCGTCAAACTTCTTTCCGCATTGGCGGCCTTTGGCCGCGCTTCAAAAAAATAACCCTGGCCAATCCAATACCATAATTTATCAATAGAAGGGAATGAACAAAATTATAGTTAATTTGGGTATAATCCTCTTTTATTGTTCATTTCTATTCGCTTGCAAAATATAAATATATTAGGTAAAGTAAAAAGTTCGTTCGGTTTTTATCTAAGAGATGGCGTTATTGCCCATAGTATTAGTGTTACGTGTCGCATCCCGTCATACTATATGGCGCTGAAAACGCGTTTATTCGCGCTAAAAGTTTGTCTTTCACAGTTTTTCGATTGATTGACTCAGTACGTTGTGAGCGCTCGTCAAAGATGTACACCAGCAAAGAGAAAATTCGCTATATTTTACAATTTTTCTTCGATCAAGGCGAAAAAGCAGCCAAAGCGGCTGAAAAAATTTATTTAGTTTATGGGCCCGATACTGTCAACGAACGTGTAGCACAAAAGTGGGTTCCTAGGTTCCGTTCCAGTAATTTCGATGTCAAAAATCCACCACGCGTCGGGAGCCTTGTCGTCGAAAATTGCGATAAAATCATGGAAATAGTGGAAACAAACCGTCGCGTGAGCACTTATTTAATTGCTGAGGAACTAAAGATATGCCAGAAAACCGTTTGGAACCATTTGCATAACCTTGGATTCAAAAAGAAGCTCGATGTTTGGGTGCCACACGAACTAACGCAAAAAAACATGATGGACCGAATTTCCATCTGCGAATCGCTGCTGAATCGCAACAAAATCGACCCGTTTCTGAAGCGGATTGTGACTGGCGACGAAAAATGGGTCACTTACGAAAGCATCGAGCGCAAACGGTCGTGGTCAAAGCTAGGGGAAGCGGCCCAGACGGTGGCCAAGACCGGATTGACGGCCAGGAAGGTTTTGCTGTGTGTTTGGTGGGATTGGCAAGGAATCATTTACTACGAGCTGCTCCCCTATGGCCAAACGCTCAATTCGGCCCTCTACTGCCAACAACTGCACCGCTTGAAGGCAGCACTCTTCCAAAAGAGGCCATCTTTGATCAACAGAGGCCGAATTGTGTTCCATCAGGACAACGCCAGATCACACACGTCTTTGGTGACGCGCCAGAAGCTCCGGGAGATCGGATGGGAGGTCCTAATGCACCCACCTTATAGCCCGGGCCTGGCACCAAGTGATTACCATCTTTTCCTGTCCATGGAAACGAACGAAAATTGTGTAAAAATTAAATGCTTATTTAAAGCAAATACTTAAATATTTAATATAAAATAATTATGTAGAAACATTGAAGTGAAAAGTTAGTGTATAATAAGTGCATAATATAAAAGAAAATAAATAAATCGAGAAATTGTAAAATGAAATTTGTGAAATTTTCAACTTAAATTGCAAATATCTCGAAAACTATAAGTTTCCGCCGGCAATAATTATATATATTCGTGGTCTGGAGAATCTCCTCTATCCAACCATACCCCTGAAATCGTGGGATGCTAAATTAAAGCCCACCCCCCATTTTATCCCTGAAAGCCTGGGAAGGTATTCTAAAGTTTTCTCACAATTTCTTCGAAGATTACTGTTGCCTTATTTTGATATTACGTCAAATAAACAAGTTTTCCATACAAGCACTTTGTTCCGATTGTTGGATTGTTCAGTTTGTATGACAGCTAAATGCTATAGTGGTCCGATATCGGCCGTTCCGACATACATATGAGCAGCGTACGTATACACGCACAAAACCTACGAATACGTACATACATATGTAAATAAATACGAAGGTGCATTGCATATTCGCTAGTAAAAAATTTACACAAATAATTTGAGATTCCATCACAAATAAAAAAAATTCTTTCAAAACAGTCTTCAAATACAATTAACAAAATGCAAATCTACAGTAACTGCTGGACTGAAAAACCGTGTGAAACAAAGTCTTCATTTTTATGGCTGCTGTCATCAAAGCAATCTCAGCATTTCCATGCATTTTTTTATAACAAATAAATCAGCACAGATCAACATTATTTTTAGCCAACTAGTCTTTAAACATTAAACTGTGATACTTTAGTTACAAACATAGATGTGTATCGACAGCCTTGTTTAAAATTGCACAAATTTAACACATTTAACTTATTTTGTCTTAATATAGTACACACGTATACACAGGCATCAATATGTCTAACGGTGTACAATACGTAAGTACCCGCTTACTTTTCACTCTTCTTCCAACTGCAAAAAATATGGTAACGAGCCTTTGCACTAGAGCACAAAATATTATTATTTCAAAAGCACTTCAACAGACTTCTTAACCAAATGTTAATAATTTCGTACTTTTTCGTATCCAAATAATTACAAATTTTTATTCACAGTCCTACACCCCGCATACTGTTCCAAATCATTCGTTCGGATTGCGCTTTCGAAATAGTGCATTGAAATTTGCTGAAATAAAATCCACATTCAACGCGAACCAAGGTGGATCGCAGTGTGGATACTAACGACCATTATAGCAACTCTAGAATATTACTAATTGCCTCCACAACACACCTCCCTTTTTCCAAAGTCTTATTCTAGGGCACACAAATATCTCTATCTTTACATATATATATATATGAATGTAAGCTTGTTTATTAAGTTTTCACGCCGAAACTACTTTTACTGATCATCTCCAAATTTTGTACAACCAATAAAGGTATTAGAAATGTCAAACTCTGCAAGCCAACTTTCGGTTAAGTCACCGGGTATATACCCGACAGCGCTACCAGAGATTTCTGTTAAACTTACTATGAGTTTCAAAGAGCCAATTCACAAATCTAACTGAAACTCTTATTTACGTGTGAGATCGTTCATCCCTTTCTTTTGTTAATAATGGAGACAGCTACCCTATAAATTGGGTGCACCAAATCAAAATTACCCGTCAACTTTCTGTTAAGTTTCGCATAAAATATCAAACTTTAACCGATATTTTCTGTAGTCCTAACGTGTAAATCGGGTGGGGGAAAACTTTAATATAACGTCCCACGCTTTCGGGGATAAAATGGGTATGGGCGTTAAAATTATAAGTGTATAATTCATTCTATAACGAAAAAATACGTACTTTAAATAGTCGAAATTTTGAACTTTAAACCGAAATATCTCGAAAACGATATTTTTCCCGCGGCTATATCTATATATATTCTTGATCT